TTCTCACTTGAAGATTTGATTGGAACAATCATATATTCACACCATTCTTTCTACCTTGTACCATCATGTTGCTTACGTCTTTGACAGGCCAGAAGAGGATTGACACCAGATAAATTTATCAGCATTGATTGTCTTCATCATAAAATATGCTATGTTATGTTATCTTTGGTATGGATTTTTTACATATCTATCGTCCCTTCTTCCACATTTTCACAAATAAAATGGTACTGAACTCGTATGTGCTTTATCCTTGAATGAAATATTGGATTCCTTGCTAGATGCAAGGCGCTTTGAGTGTCACAAAATAGAGAGACATACTCTTAATTGTGCCCAAGCTCCTCCAATAGCATATTCAACCAGATTGCTTCTTTATTGGCTTGTGTAGCTGCTACATATTCTGCCTTTGTTGTAGATGTAGCCACAACTGACTGCAATTTTAAAACCCAACTTATAGCTCCACCAACATTTTTAAACACATATCCTGTAGTATATTTGCTTTTATCCAAATCCTCTACATAGTCAGAATCGACATACCCGTTGATAAGTAAGTTTGATCCTCTGTAACATAATGCAATATTTGAGGTCCCTTTGATGTATCTCAGGATCTTATTTACTGTATTCCAATGCGCTTTGCCTATATTCTCCATGTACCGACTAACCACTCCCACTGCTTGTGCAATGTATGGTCTTGTGCATATCATAGCGAACAATAAACTTTCCACTGCCGATGCATACGGTACTCGAGACTTCTCCATCCTCTCTTTTTCACTGCTAGGATTCATACTGGAGGATAATTTGAAGTTAATAGGAAAATGGGTATAAATTGACTTACAATCTTGCATGTTGAATCGTGACAAGATCTTCTTCAGGTAATTCTTTTGTGAAAGCCAAATCTTCTTATTACTTCTGTCTCGGTGAATTTGCATCCCCATAATCTTTTTGTTGATCCCAAGTCCTTCATTCAAATTCCCTAGCCAGTTGTGCCTTCAATTCTTCAATGTTATCTTTGTTGGGTCCTGCAACCAACATGTCATCCACATACAACATTAATATAACAAAATCTTTATCACCAAACCCCTTGAAATAAACACAAGGGTTTGCATTAAGTCTGTTGTATCCAAGACACATAATGAAGGAATCAAATCTCTTATACCAACACATCAGCGCCTGCTTTAGACCGTACAAAGATTTGTTCAACCTGCAAACCAAGTTCTTCTTTTCGTATTCTTCAAAACCTTCAGGCTGGAGCATATAAATATCTTCTTCAAGATTTCCATGAAGAAAAGATGTTTTAACATCTAGTTGCTCTAGATGTAAGTTCAATGTAGCACACATTGTCAAAACTACTCGAACTATTATTAGTCAAACCACATGAGAAAAGATTTCATTGAAATCAATACCTTCTTTTTGAGCATATCCTTTGACCACCAGTCTTGCACGATACCTCTCCACTTGATCGTTACCATTTCGCTTGATTTTGAAGACTCATTTGTTACCAATTGGCTTCCTTCCTTGTAGTAGTGACACAAGGTCCCATGTATTATTTTTATTAAGGGCTTTGATTTCTTCTTGCATCGTCATCATCCACAGTGAAGCCTCTGAGCTGTTTATTGTCTCCTGGAATGTTGATGGCTCACCGCCAACTATTAAAAGGAATTATGCAATATTTTTTCTATAACATAATCTAAATGTCAATTAGGACATCTTTTCACACGATCTGATTGACGAGTTGTTGGAGTTTCAGAACTCTCTGGTTCTAGTTCATCATGTGCTGGTTCTGCTTCAGAAAAATCTCCTTGTTCAAACTCCTTTTCCACATGTATATGTGTAGTCTTTGACTTTTCAGCGCTATTATCGTCTTCTTTTCTTTGTAGTTTATCTTCTACAAAAATAACATCCTTGTTGATGATCACTTTGCGGGCAGTGGGATCCCACAAGCGATACCCCTTTACTCTATCAGCATACCCCAAGAATTTGCATTTCCTGGATTTTGGATCCAACTTTGAAATTTCTTGGGAGTTGTACATCACGTCCACAATACTTCCAAATACATGGAGGTTTGAATAATCAGCTGGTTTACTAGTCCACATCTACATTGGTGTCTTCAGCTCTATTACAGTTGATGGAGCTCGATTCACCAAATATTATGCAGTATTGACTACTTCTGCCCAAAATGATTTTTCTAGGTCTGAAGCACTCAACATTGCTCTTGTTATTTCTAATAAGGTTATGTTCATCCGCTCTGCCACTCTATTTTATTGAGGAGTGTTCGCTACTGTGAACTGTCTTTTGAAGCATTCTTTCCTATAAAAGTCATCAAATTCTTCACTTGTGTATTCTCCTTCATTATCTGTTCTAAAACACTTGATCTTATTTCTAGAATCAAGTTCCACCCATGCTTTGAAGTTTTTGAAAGTTAAAACACATATGGCTTTTCCTTAATAGGGTATACCCAATATCTCTTGGAGTAGTCATCAATAAATGAGACAAAGTATTTTGCTCCGCCTAGGGATGTAACTGGTGCTTGCCATACGTCAGAATGAACCAATTCTAGAACACTTTTGCCTTTATAATTTGATGTGTTGAATTTCATCTGTTGCTGCTTACTTGTTATGCAATGCTCACACAAAGCAAGTGATACTTTTGTTAAGCCTGGAAGTAGTTTTTGCTCCACAAGGACTTTCATTCCTTGTTCTGACATGTGTCCAAGTTTCTGATGCCATAACATTGTAGAATCTGAACTACATGAGGCAACAGAGGTTTCTGCTTCTAGAAAAGTCTTTCCCTTCAGCATGTATAAGTTTGCTTCTGTCTTTTCGCCTTTCATCACCACAAGCGCTCCATGAAACACCTTCATTATTCATTTTCGTGTTTCAATCTTGCTTGCATTATTATCCAACAATCCGTAGGATAATAAATTTTTCTTCAGGCCTTTCACGTGCCGCACATCTCGAACAACTTTAATTTTTCCATCATACATATTCAATTTGATGGTTCCAATGCCAACGATCTCTAAGGCATGATCATTGTAACTATACACAGATCCTCCTGAGACAGGTTCATAATGATGAAACCATTCTCTTCTTGAGGTCATGTGATATGTTTTTCCCGAATCAATGAGACATATATCTGCAAATCTCTTTCTGCCTTCCACGGTGGTTGACGCTTCACAAGATAGAGCATCTCTGTCATCTGAAGTGTTTGCGGTATTGCCTTATGGATTGGAGTTTTTGCCTAGACTCCAATAATCATTCTTCAAGTGACCCATTCTTTCCACAGTTGTAGAACTTTAAATTCTTTTTGTTTCTCAATATTGATCCACCATGTTTGTGACTATTGCTTTGGCCACATTTTGTTGATCTCTCTTTCATCATTGTCAACGCTTCTGCTTGTTGCAGATTTACTTGTTTGTCTTCCTTGTTCTTGCACCAATTTTCTTCTTATAGAACAACAGCTGCAACGTCATCGAATACTAGACTGGTGACATTACTGTTTGTCAAGTTGATGATGAGTTGATCATACGAATCATGTAGACTTTGAAGTAGAAGTTCAGCACGTTATTGTTCTCCTATTGTACATCTTAAGGTGTAAGCTGAGAAAATAAAGTGTTCAGTGTGTTTAAGTGCTCCGTCATTGAGTAGATTTTGGCATCCGAAGAGTGTACAATTTCCTTTTAAGGAAAATTTTATTGTGCAACGATATGGCCTCATACAATTAGATGATCCCATATCTCCTTAGTTGTCTTCTTCTCCTCGATGCTTGACAATACTTTATCTGCTAAATGTAGATGAAAGTTTTCCATAATATTCCCGTCCATTTCGATCCATTTGTTGTCATCTGTGAAATCTACCGGTCTTTAACTGATAGCTGCTAGACAACCGTCTTTCCTCATGATGGCCTTCATCTTCAATTTTCACAATGAGAAATTTCTCCCATTGTACTTTTCAATATCAAATTTCGTTGCCATAACTTATATTACAGATAGAAATAGTTCTCTGGAACCTTCAAAGAATGTGTAATATCTTTTTACTTTCTTATATTGGAGGATCCACCTTTTGGTGGCAACCACAAAGATAATAAGTAGATATTACACACTCAAATTTGGCTCTGATACTAATTATTACGAAATATGGCTATCGAATAGAGCAAAATCGCAACTGATAATTTGAGAAAATAAAGATAAAGAATACACGAATTTTACGTGAAAACCCCCTAAATAATATAGGGTAAAATCCACGGACAATGGTAGAATAATTTCACTATGAGAAATAGGAATTACAACTTCTCTCGATCTAACAAGGAGAAAACAATAACAATTCTCTCTTGATAAAAATGAGAAAATAACTCTCAAGAAAACTTTCTAAATTCTCTAGTATTGAGAGAAAACTATAATGATTTAGGATGGTTTTGAAGCTAAATGGGTTATGGTATTTATAGTTGAAGATTAAGGACTAATCTTGTAAATATCCTAAAATACAAAGATTAAATATACAAATTTTCCATTTATTTTTCTTTCAACAATTGCTACCAAATCCACCGAATAACCGTGAATCTTTAAAAAACCAATTTGTTGAAAATTAGACTACCGAAAGTTATTTTGACTTTCAACAATATATTCATACAATATTAATACCTTATAAAATTCTATAAACATATTTAGGCAAAATAGAAAAGAGTATCAATATCCATTCTTGAGTGACCCATTAGTACTTAAATTAAAAAAAAATCAAAACATAATGTTAAATTTTAAATAAGATTTAAAATAAATAAAAAATAAATTTTAAATATGATTTTAAAAAAATTAAAAAAATTAAAAAAATTAAATATTAAAATAGATTAAAATTAATAATTTATGTATTAAATGTATTTTACAAAAATTTAAAATATAATAAAAATTCAATAAGTAAATTTATAATTTGCTTTGATTTTATTTTTAAAGGAAGTGAAGTATTACTTGTAGCTTAGCATCCTTTTGGCTTGGGTAAGGTTTTAAAAGCGATTCAAAATACAGAACAGCTATTTGCGAAGAAAAGGAGTTGGGGGAGAATGTCGTTTAGAGGGAAGAGAAAGGATCACTCTTCTGACGCGAGTGATGTCCACGCGCCTTCCATGAAAACCTCCAAGTTTTCAACCGCCGATGACGATTCCGATGATTCCAACGACATCGTTGTCTGCGAGGTCACTCTCCACATTCTCCCACGATCTCTTAAATTTGATGGCTTTATTTATCCAACATATGCGACTCTAGGGTTTTGTATTTAGCGTTTTTTCTCCCTATTTTTTCTGAATTTTGCATTGAACGAAGTTAATGAAATGTGAATTTCCCCCCTTTTGGGCTGCAGATATCTAGGAATAGAAGAGTTTCAGTGAGGAACTGGAATGGCAAAATTTGGGTTGATATTCGTGAATTCTATATTAAGGATGGAAAGCAATTGCCTGGCAAAAAAGGTCTCTTCTTTGTTTTATTTCCAAAGATTATGATTTCAACTGTGCTTTGTTTCTATATTTTGTTTAGATTTGAAGTTTGATTTACTTAATCAATCTCTGACATGTTATAAATGGGTGTTTTAACTGAGAAGGGGTAGTTCTTGCAGTACAACCTAAAATTTTAGGCTAAAAATAAAAAAATCGGAGGAATGTTATAAAAAAACATAACATTTTTTATTGGATGCAATCTAAAGACAGCTTTTTAGACTTTTGCCTGAGAAGGAGAATTCCATTTTTGTGTTATTTTGTTGTATTCAGTACCACTTTCTTGTAAACATGTTTTACTTTCTTGAGCATGTCGGTCTATTTTTCAGTGATGGTTGAATCTAAGTGTAAAGGTAATGTTGAGTGTTAATAAGTTTGGTTTTTTACTTTCATTCATATTGGTCCTTTTTATTACTCCCAATTGGCTTAGTTTAGATTAAAAAATGTACTCCTGTTTTTGCCAGTAGTTTGTTATTCGTTGCCGTTTGTCTTGTTTTTGTGACTTACATTAATTGGATTTCTTTTTAGTTTCAAATATCTCTATTAACGTTCATCATCAGTTAAAGTTTATGTATCCACTGCCATCTTCCAAAAAAATTTGTGCATGAATATTTTGTTTATTATTCAGGAGATTTAACATTGTTTTTTCCCCACTACTTGTAGAAACGTTATAATAAAAGAAAGTAGAGTGGCACTTAAGTTAGAGGAACCTTTTAACCCGGTTTACCTTGAAAAAGAGTTTGCCTAGGCAGAAAAGGTGTTTGTTTGATTGAAGGTGCCTGAAAGTGGCAAGGGGCATTATGATTATTTGCTTATGACTTGGCACCAAGGTGTGCATCTCCCGACACTGCATACTCCAAATTGCAAGTGGTATTCTTTGTTGAGATTAAAGCACCGGTTTTCCTAATATTAATTTGGTTAGTGAGTGTATTTCAACCAACATATATAGACTTTTTAAAGTTAAGAATCCCTGTTATTTGTATCCTATATAAGGAGAAATCCTTATTTGAAGAAGTTATATATTGTTCATGAATTTTTTAGTGGGAAATTTTGTTTTGGAAAAGTTTGACACCTTTCTCTCTCTCTTTTTTTCCATGCTTATCTTGGTGCACGCTGGTATTTTTGTTGTTGATAACCTTAGTTTCTGAAGCTTATAGTTAGTATTTTTCTCTCTTTTGTTAATATTCGCGAACTAACATCTTATGCTCCTTATAGGTATTTCTCTAAGTCTGGATCAGGTATAAATTATGAACTTTATGCTCTGCCATGATGATTGTGATGATTTTTTTTACTTATTCGGCTTTCTTCTGGTTCAGTGGAATACTCTACGGGATCATGCAGAGGAAATTGACAAGGCATTGGGCGAGAACTCTTAGGAAGTAGACATGGTGTACAATGTTTGAAGATGATGGGAGTGTAAGGTGTCGGGGCAGCATCTCTTACTTTTATTGTTGGAAACTGTAGTTGCTGGAGGCTGGGGTTTTGTTTTTAACCAGACCCGATGTTGACTTGTTTTTGAAGTTTATAGACTTAAAAGGTTCCATCAGGATCCCCCCCTTCCCTTTATGTAATTAGTTGTGTAGTCTAGTATGTGTTGTATCTTGATGTTGGATGATATTTAACATGATCAGCAAATGGAGACTTGGAGGGAATGTAGGCATCTTTAGCCGTGAGTTTTAACTGTTGCAACAATATTCATGCATTAAGCGGCTGCAGGTACTAAAATTGTGGATACTGATTTGTTTGGCTTAAGATAGAGAGCTCTTAGTCAAAATCTGAGTTCATTTGCTATTGTGTTTAATTTGAATCAGCACAACCTTAAACAACATTACCAAGTGTTAACCTCATTGATTCTGATACTTTTAACAAACTTACTGATGAGGTGTAGATACAATGGAGAGAAGATACCATCAGGGAAGAATCTATTCATGTCGTAGCTGATACTATTTGTGTCGTTCATGAAAATAATGGAGTGATAAATTAGTGTGGCAAACACAACGAAGGGTCATTTTATGACAAAAGTGCATACATGCTACATCTCACTGAAATTTGGGGTTAATAGTGCGTCTCTTTGGCTGGGGTGTATGCAAGAAACCCTTCAGGTTTAAACATCAGGTCTCGTATGCGCTTCACAATATCGATTTCTTATTCTTCAGGAGGAAAAGAAAGTGTCTGACACGGCATCATCTTCCTCCTCTTGTAAGAAGATTTGAACCTTGCTCAAAGGTTTCTCCCAACAAGCATCATACTGCGACAAACTCTGGTCCCCACCTTCGGCGCTGTGAGGATCTCCTTAATTAGAGCCGACGGTGCAGAAAACAACTCACGACAGTAACATCTAGATAAAATCCCATTTAGTATGGCAAATCCATAACAAAGGTCGTCATTCATGGATATATTTATGAAATATTAATGGTTTGGTTTGATTTCATGAAAAACTAACAGATGGCTGCAAGCTCTGCAACACAGTGCAAGTAGACGAAGGTTGTAGAAAAGCGATGGCCCACATGGAAAGATGATCTGGTTGAAGAAAAGTGATTCTCTCTATTTACTACGATGAAAGTTGGAAGATAATATTTTATTGAGTTAATTGCATCACATGTCCTCAAAGTATGATACACAATTTAAATTGCTCCTTAAACTTTTAAATATTCTAATTTTATCACTAAATTATGACTATTGCTCTAAATTAGTCCTCAAACTTTTGAAAATTTCAATTTCACCCTTAAACTATGACATGCATAATGTATTTTAAATTGGTCCCCAAACTTTTTGAACATTCTAATTTCATCCCAAATTATACGTATATACTAATCACATCTCTTGTTAATAAAATCATTCGAAAAAACAAAATTTAGGTCAAATTATGGTTGAAACTAATTACATATTAGAATGAATTTGGCGATGAAATTGGAATATTTAGAAGTTTGGGGATCAATTTAGAAAAATGTTCATAGTTTAAGGATGAAATTAGAATGTTTAAAAGTTTAAGGACTAGTTCAATATGAGAGTCATAGTTTGGGGATGAAATTGGAATATTCAAAAGTTTAAGAACCAATTCAAAATGAGGGTTATAGGTTGGGGACATATAATGCAATTAACTCTGTTTTATTTGAAAGGTAAACTGTTAGAGTTAGTATATTTAATCATATACTAAGAGAATATGATAAACAGCTCTGATGATTTAAATCGTTTGCTCTCCCCTGCTGAAGTTCAATTGGATGCTATTTTTGGTAGGGCTTCAAGTAGTTCAATAGCAGTGAAAGGTTAGCATTTGGTTCGTTGTCTAATTGACCAAAAACTAAAAGAAGTGGACAGAATTGGGTGAGGAAAAGATATTCCAATTGCTTAACAGTGAAATGACAAGCATCGACTTCAATGCAGCTGGACAGGCTAGTATGAAACCATGATTATGCGTCTATTTGGTTGAAAGTCGTATGCATAGGACGTGCAAGGCGGGGAGGGGCACAAAGACTTGGAAAAATCAACAGTCAAACGTTGATCCACTGTAGTAATTGGCATGAAAGTAATGCATTTAGAATCAGATGCTTGATTTGTCTACAAAAAGCTCTTCTGCCTCCAATTTTCATAAAACAAGGAAGAAAACAATGGGGTGTTCCCTGGCGTTTGCTCTTGTGTCTTTCATGATTTGTTTATTTCAATTCACTCCTTGTGTTTCTTCAGTGCAGCCGCTGTGTCGTAGCGATGAGCGACTTGCGCTGTTTCAATTCAAGGAAAGCTTGAATGTGGATGAAGAAGCTTCTGCCGATCCATTTGCTTATCCCAAGGCCGAGGGATGGAAATTTCAAGGGGTTGATTGTTGCCACTGGGATGGTATTGAGTGTGACCATAACACTGGTCATGTGACTGCTCTTGATCTCAGCAGCAGCTTCCTTTATGGCACCATCAACTCCACCAGCAGTCTCTTCCATCTCGTTCATCTGCGAAAGCTCAATCTTGCCGACAATCACTTCAACTTCTCTGAGATACCATCAAGATTGGGCAATCTTTCGATGCTGACATATCTTAATCTCTCTAATTCTGTCTTTTCTGGTGAAATTCCATTACAAATCTCATCGCTCTCTAGGTTGACTTCACTCGATCTATCAAACGAAGCGGAACTTGAATGTCCGGATTTCAGGAGCTTGATACGAAAACTAACCAACCTCAAACACCTTCATCTATCCCATGTCATTGTATCTTCTCCAGTGCCTAGCATCTTGATGAATTTGTCTTCATTATCATCTCTTGATCTCAGTCATTGTGGGCTGTCAGGTGAGCTCCCAACATCCATTTTCCAGTTACCAAACATCCAGTTCCTCGATGTGTCCAACAACTTGCACCTCACCGGCACATTACCTGCAACCTTTTCGAGTAGGCGGCTCAAGTTTTTATCAGTGGGGTTTACAAGTTTCTCTGATGTTTTACCTGCTTCAATTGGAAGCCTCGATTCATTGAAATTCTTGGATGTTACAGCTTGCAAATTTGGAGGACCACTTCCGTCGTCGTTAGGTAATCTCACTAAACTCACTGGATTAGCCCTGCAAAATAATTCTTTTTCAGGTGATATACCATCCTCTTTGTCAAACCTCACTCGGATGGGGTTTCTTTCACTTGGCATCAACAAATTCAACCTCAATACCATCCCTTCTTGGTTTGCTAACTTCAACAAGCTTCATGAGTTGCATTTGTCCTTCTGTAGAATCAAAGGTCCCATCCCATCTTTTCTTGCAAACCTGACTCAGCTTGTTGTGTTGGACCTCAACCAGAACCAGTTCACTGGAGGCTTCCCAGTAGGAATTGCAAACCTTACCTGGTTAAAATCTCTCTCTCTTGGGTCAAATATGTTGGATGGGGCACTTCCAGACTCAATTTTTGGGCTCCAGAATCTTGAACTCCTTGAGATTTACTCTAATAGACTGAGTGGTATAGTTGAGATGGACCAGTTCATGAGACTTAAACATTTGAAAGTTTTGTATTTGTCCTCAAACAATTTCACATTGCTTTCCGTATCCGAAACCAGTCCCAATACCAGTATTCTTCCAATGTTTAATGAGTTGGGGTTAGGGTCGTGTAATCTAAGACAGTTCCCAAACTTGCTGAGGGACCAGAACCAGCTGGTGTATCTAGATCTCTCTCGTAATAATATACAGGGTCAGGTGCCCAAATGGATATGGGAAATGAGCTTAGAAACTCTACTTCTATTGGACCTCTCTTTTAACTCTCTAACAGGATTTCATGAATCTCCCACTGACACTCTTCTCCCTTGGTCTAATATACTCCTTTTGGACCTTAGCTCCAACTTGTTTCAAGGCTCTCCCCCAATCCCATCCCGTTCCATTATGGTTTACTCGGCCTCGAACAATTCATTCACCGGAGAAATCCCACAGTTATTTTGCAGCATGGCTTCTCTTCAAGTTCTGGATTTATCTCGAAACAACTTATCCGACATCATTCCCCAGTGTTTAAGCAATGTTAGCACATCCCTGTCAGTGCTAAATTTGCATGTCAATGACTTTCATGGCCCTATCCCTCAAGCCTGGATGAGTGGAAACAAATTGAAGATGATTAACTTAGGCCAGAATAAGCTGGAAGGGAAGTTGCCAAGATCACTGGTAATGTGCAGAATGCTGGAATTTCTTGACATCGGGAACAATCGAATCAGAGATACTTGGCCTTTTTGGTTGGGAAATCTTCCGGAATTGAAGATTCTCATATTACGTTCCAACAGGTTCCAGGGTGAAATCAAGAGTGGAGAGTTCGATTCCGTGTTTCCTAAGCTACGTGTTATTGACCTCTCCAACAACGGATTCATCGGCCTTTTGCCGTCGTCTTACATGGAAAGCTGGAATGCCATGAAACGTTTTCATGTGGAGCACTTGTCATACATGCAAGCGAATCTGTATGATCACATGTTTATGGCTGGACTAACCATCCCAGATGAGTATAATTACTCAATGACAATGACTAACAAAGGCATAAACATGGAATACACAAAGATCATAGAAGTGTTCATGGCCATGGATCTCTCATGCAACAAATTCCGAGGTGAAATTCCAGAATCAATCGGAAATCTCAAAGGGCTTCAATTGTTAAATCTGTCCAACAACTTTCTGGTGGGCCAAATTCCATCAGTCATGGGAACTCTGACAAACCTGGAAGCTTTGGATCTCTCCCATAACCAGTTTGTAGGAAGAATTCCATGGCAACTAAGGCAGCTCAACTTCCTGGAAGTTTTCAACGTGTCTTACAATCATCTGAGTGGGCCAATACCACAAGGCACACAAATGGATACGTTTCCGAACACTTCATTTGATGGGAATGCGGGGCTGTGTGGAAATCCATTGTCCAAAAAATGTGAGGATTTGGAAAGCCCGCTTCCTCCATCTTCTTCAACCTTTGAAGGTATAGAATTGGAATGGAGAGGGGTTTTGGTTGGTTTTGGAATTTGCTTCCTTGTTGGAACCAGTTTCGGATGCGTTGTAGTCACCAGGAACCTTAAATGGTTTGCAATGACTTTTGGAATCAGGCTGCCAAGAATGCCAAAACAATGAAAGCCATCTTCAAAATAATGTACCAAAATCCAATATCTAGGATCAAAGTTTGTAAAACTAGTATTTATGCCCATCTACATGACCTCCATGCATTTTAATTTGATTTTACTATTATTGCTCCATTATTGTTTCAGATGTCAAGATTGATTTTACGTCTCATACGTATATTTACATGAAAGTCACTTAGGTAACAACCATTGTGATTTCCACCATGTATATACATTTGATGTATATACATGAAAGAGCAATTGTACATACACAAACTCTCTCTAAAAGTTGAGAACAAAATTTGTAACAGAGTTACATGCCCTTAAAATACCAAGTTGCCCAACCAAAACTGTTAAAATAACAAGCTATGGGAAATATTTATTCTAATAATTCGGGGATAATTTCTTTGAACACACTGGGCCAATGTTAAATTTGTTCAATCAGAGTAATTTTCTTATTGTCGAAGAAGTGGTCGGACTATTCGGTGGAGGTGCATATTCACAATGGATCTAATGAAATCAAAGTGTTTGGACTAAATTGAAATAATATTTAAATCTTGGGGTTAATATTTTAATATTAGGATCAACTTAAATTAAATTGTGAAAGTTGGGTGTTAAATTTCTTATTATATCAATTTTATTAACTTTGACGCCATCCTCTTACTTTTTTTAATATATAAAACAACCAACTTGTTATTTTTTTAAGTTGAGTTATCATTTCATAACTTTTTCATAATTGGAAGACTCAACAAAAATGTGGTCAATTGTCGAGTGACTATTATATATTTTACCCTTTTTAGAGTTAATGCCAAATTGACCTAATATGTAAATGTTGATGGTTATATTTGTTATTATGCCAATCAAAATTAAGTAAAATTTGTAGAAAATATCAACACTATAATTACCTTTTCTGATTTTCAAAATTGATAGGTACTAAATTGCATTCTGTTGAGGACCAATTTACGCAATTTTAAATTTAAAGGGACCTATAGGTCTTTTGACAAGATTGTTATCCTGTATGCTGAGAGCCTTACAATAACCAGTTTAAAGACCTACGCTCCGAGGAAATAAACAATAGTTCTAACTCTAAAATAATGTCAATGTTATCCGTCCACTTCCCACGCTTCACGCGCCACCACTTCCCTTTCTCTTCCATATTCCCTCCTTCCTCTCGCCTTCATAACCACGCCTTCGCTCCTCCCCGCCGCAATTTTGGTTTCTCCGTGATCAAAAAATTCTCCTTCCGCTGCTTTTGCTCTTCTTCAACTGCCCATTCGAGTATGTTTATCTATTCAGGCATTTCATCGAACAGGTTTTGTGTGGAGTAGTTATTGGACTTTCAAATTTAAATTTCCTATTCCAAAAATTTGCAGATTGGAATCTGCCTGTGGGAGCTGGTGAGGAAAAGTATGATGTTATTGTGGTTGGAGGAGGGCACGCGGGTTGTGAAGCTGCTCTCGCGTCCGCTCGGTTGGGGGCCAAAACTTTGCTTCTTACTCTAAACATTGACCGGATAGCTTGGCAGGTTGGTTAATTTTCTTTTATCATTTTATTTGATTTAAGTAGTTTCCTTAGTGCACAAACTAAACGACATCATGGTAAGAGATTATTGTTATTCCCTGATGATCTGGATTCCATAGTTATTGTCAAATGGTTATTTCACCCCTGGAATTATCATATATTTTGAAATTTTTATTTATATTTTCTATTGATAATATATATTTTTTTGATAAAATATTGATAATATATTTTGGTCCCTTCGAATATTAGAAATTCGTCCCTAACATAAAATCCTGGTTTCGGTCCATACTTACTGGCATAAGTTGGTTTTCTTTACTTACAGCCTTGCAATCCAGCGGTGGGCGGACTTGCAAAATCACAACTTGTACATGAAGTCGATGCGCTTGGTGGTGAAATTGGAAAGATTGCGGATAAGTAATTTCTTTAATTCCCCAAATGTAGTTATATTTGCCAATTGTGTTGGTTTGCTTTGGGAGGCTTTAGCCTAAAAGTAAAATGTGTGTAAATTTGATAAGTTTTATAAATTTAATTCTTTTACCGAACATTTATGTTTGAATGTTTTTGTTACATTTTGTAGCCATTTGTTTTTTTTATTGGACGAGATTTTGTTTTTTGAGCAATAATTGGGAAAAAAAACCAGAAGAAGCAATAACTCTCATCTTACTTGTTTACTTCAAATTTGTTTGTTTTAAGCAAAACAATGCAATCCAATTATTTACTTATTGGGACTTTTGGTACTCGTAGGTGCTATTTACAAAAGCGCATTCTTAATGCTTCAAGAGGTCCTGCTGTCCGAGCATTGCGTGCACAAATTGACAAAAGGGAATATGCGATGGAAATGAAAAATGTGGTAGAGAGGCAAGTTTCTTTCTTTTTATTCCTATTTAAATATCCATTTTTAGTAATTAGCATGTATCGAAAACATATTTTTAAGGTGTAATTAATAACTTAATATTGTTTCAGTAGGACTAAACCTTGATTTTGTGACAGCATTAAAACTAGCTGATTAAATTTTGTATCATGGTATTTCTAGCTTATAGTTAGGTGTATATCTTATATGGGCATTTGTGATTGCACGGTTATATTCAAAGGCAATTGATAGAGTTCTCTATGCTATATAATAAAACAGATAAAGAAACATAGGCATGATAGAAAAAGTCTTAACTGATTTGTTTTTGTTTGGGACATCGAAATAGAACTGTTGCCGCAGAAGTTAAAGAATAGTTATAACCGGACTTTTATTAGAGTAGCTATTTATCACTAAGGCTGAAGTTAAAAGAAAACAATCGCTGATAAAAGTGTAATACCATGCAAATAATATCTGGTTTAAAATAAAGCCTCCCATTCTTTCAATGTTAATTAAAGAGGACAATGACACAAACCAAGTGACCTCCGTGGTAAAAGAATTGTTGTTATTTCTTGAGGACCCGGGTTCAAGCACCATGAATGCCAGGGGTGTGAGCGTTCAATGTCAAAAGGTTGAGAGTTTTCTTTGAACAGATACTGCCTTGTACTTGTCCCAAATTTATAATTTTTTTTGAAAGAGGACAATGATTTGTGCTGCATCAAGTATATGAATTTAGAAAGGTTATTTTAGAGGGGTCTGTATTCTGAAGAAAGTTAAGAGTTTGACTTGTTATAACCATATGTTTCTTTGGCTGTATTGACCTCTTTTCTGAGATAAATGTAAAGCAACATGTGGCCCTCATATTTTTCTAATGCATTTTGTACTATAAAGAGAGCATAACTGAGTGCTAGCTCATAGGTCTTGATGGTTATAACTTATAAGTTCGTTAATGAAAAACCCTTTCCTTCTGTGGCTCTTATAGAATAATTACTATTATTCTAGTCTCTTGGTAGCTTCTAGATTTGAATTCTCTTGGTTACAATCTTGGAATCTTGTTTTTTAGATTCATGATTTAGATTGTCGAAGGGAGACTGAACCCTCTCAGCTAGTTGAAGGGAGACTGGAATCTTAGGAATCATTAAAAGAGAGACCAAGATCTGTTAGGTCTTGATAAAAGTTCCAACTTGTTTTATTCAGTTCTCAGTTTGCCTCTTATATCAACCGAAAGACTTGCTAAGCAAGTAATTAAAAACAAAGACTTGTAATAGTATAAGATACCCATAAATAAGACATCCTAATACTTGTCTTAGTAAAACATTAATAAACTAATAATAATAATAAGATAATTAACACGAATGATAATATCGACTACAAAGATAACCAGTAACATTGAGAGTCATACATGCCTGAGGTTGATTGCTTTAAAACTGCCACTGTAGCAATTATGTTGGAAAACACTCGGAAAATGCTTATCATCCCTAAATAAAATATTAAATTTGTTTATGCTTATGGAGCATTCTTAGTTGCAGTGTTCCACTAGGATCTGAACAAATACTCAGACTCCAACTAGAAACTAACTCAACGTAGAACAAACTCAACATCCATAATTAAACTTAATTCTAATCATAAAGGAATCCTAAAATAAGGCCTTAGATTCAAACATAAAAATTTCCAATGTATCTAAAAAATATAAAATGCTTAAAACAAAATGAATCTAGTGTGTGACATTTGGCCAGTGTTATAAGAACCAGAACAAACTGGTGGTTCGAACGGTTTAAATGGGAAATGGAGGCCTATCCAGAGTAGAAGGGGGCAGTTAAGCTAGAGGGTTGTCAAACCTATTAAAACCAGTCAACCTCTGGGTTTAGCCAGTTTATATGTTAATTAACTTCACGAAATATTTGTGTGCGCTAAGTTTTGAACCCTTAACCATTCGTCTTTTAACTAGTGTCTTAAGCATCAAGCTGAAGGCGTAAGTATTCCCCATGGATTCAACAATTGGTTTTTTTTTTTTGGATAAAATAAGGTCTCATTAAAAATCCCCTTCTTATCCTACATGTTACAAACATAACATGAAGGACATTTGAAGGAGGAAAAGAGTGCCTCTAACTTTTATTAATTAGAACAATAATACACCTCCACACCTCAACAGCTAACAACTTCTTACAAAACAGAAAACCATATATCTGAAAACAAAACACACCCTGAAACTCCTAAATAGGAACTACCAAGGCATAACACCTTAACCATTACACAAAACGTAAGTTCAGCCTATACCAGCTTTAGCTAATTCATCCGCTTCCCAATTTGCTGCTCTCGAGATGAGCCTTGTGATGATACCCTTCCTCTCCACAGTAGAAGCTATATCCCTTACCAAGGAATGAAACAAAGTAGTACTAAGGTTCGGATTATTAATCCATTTCAGAGCATTAGAAGAATCCGATTCCAAAATGATCCTCTGATTTGAAAAGAGATCAGCTTCAACTTCTTCAATAAGAATCAACCCTCTCTTGATCGCCAAAAGCTCTGCGAGTAAGGGAAGACCTCCCCCTACCTTCTCTGAAAAAGACCCAAGCACCATCCCTCTGCCATCTCTAGTCAAGCCACCTATTCCACCCTTATCCCAACCTTTGACCATTGCACCATCAACATTAACTTTTAAGAACCCTATCGGAGGACTCCACCTAGAAGAAGGAAGATACCTCTTATTCAGATTGACATG